AAAAAAAAAATATATATATATAATTTTCTTTTTATATATATATATATATATATATATATAAAATAAGAGAACTTTATATATATTTTTTTAACTTTTTTTATTTTTAAACTTTTTTTATTTTTAAACTTTATATATATATATATACATGATAAAATAAGAAAAAGATCTTGCAAGGACTGTATTTCTATGAAAAATATTGCCTATAAAAATGTACAAAAATATTATAGTATACGTTGCAAATATTATAAATATCCTTAGTATCTTTGTCTGCGATAATTTTCGAGAATAAATCCTAGATGGTAAAATGTACCTTGTAATATATTCGAAATTTCCATCCATAATGCATTCTTGCGCAACATACTTTTTTCCGAAGCAGGTATACGAAAATCATAAGTGCACATTTGTTTCTAACTGCTTCAATCAACAATTCATCCAAATTTCCTTTCCTCCCAACAATTGTTGGATACTTTTCGACTATAAAAAAGTTATATTATTTAATTTACTTAACAGAACGAACTAAACATAAAGATCGAACCATATATAACAATCATACCTATTGTCACAACATAGTTTTCGTCAATTTTGATATAATCTACATCTTCAACATAACATTTAAAGCAATTGTGATCAATAAAGTTTGTGTTGAACCCGAAAAGCCACCCGCAGTATCCACATTTATACTGTAATAAAAAGTGTCTGCATTAATAAGAATTAATACCTAATAGTTGGACATAATCTTTAAATTATTTTGTTATACTGTCCAAGCGATGTATTAAATTACGTTCAAATATTAAAAAAAAATTATTTTTAGAAACTTTATATAGAATTTCTTAGAAGAATGTTACTTTACCCGAATTTGATCCATCTTTTTTAAATTAAAATCGAAATTTTATTCGGTGATCTCTTAGAAATATACATACTCGTATCATTAATATACAAACATTCATCAGTTTACGCGAAAAATTGGATTTGGCGTATTGGGAAAAAGCGTAGAAAAAACTAAGTCAGAGAGAAACCTGAGAGAGGCCATGGCGGCCTTTTTCGCGTGATAGGTAAAAGCCACCGTACGCCAGCGGCACC